GCAGAGAGGCTGTGACATGGAGTGAGCTCCAGTCAAACAGGCTGGACTTGGTCAGGGCTGAGACTTTAAAATACTAGGCCTGGAGCAAGACTGGAGCTACAGTCAAAGGGGAGGCCTGGCTGGGAGATCCTCTTCCCCAGGCTGGAGGAACACTCACATATCTTCCTGGGTCTGAGGGATCCCACATGTGGGAAGAGAAACTACACAGGACCCTGGGGTTGACACGAGTATGAACGTTCAGAAAAGAAAGTGGCTTGAGAGAGGGGGGCTTGGATCTTGGTTCAGCATCTAGGAGCCAGGTGGAGTGGACAAGGGACCTCTTGTCACCAGGTGTAATGGGCCTGGGGCAAGGCGAGGGGGACAGATGAGGACAGAGGCAGATGGATGGGATCAGATTTATGCACTTAGCTGCAGGGCAGTGTATTCAGAGAGATGAGGCAAAAGCTCACCCATCAGGAGAAATATCTTAATGTCTTATTATAAACAAATTAATAGAATGCAAACATTCGTGATGATCATAATATCCTCATTTGAATTAAACATGATCCTGTGGTTGTGGGGCGAGGGTGAGGTGCACCTCAAATGCGGTCTTCCCTTCAATTTCTGATATGGTCTGCATTGTGGACTTCTTGCATTAATTTTGAATTTAGAAATATCATACTGAAGCACTACATTAGTGGCTCCCACAATTAGCACACTAGGCAATGCTTCTTCTGCCCCAACCATAATAATCAGGTTCTGGGGCTGTTTGGGGTTGGGGATTGGGATGGGATCTGGACACTTTCCACATGAGGATGAGGCTGGCACCAAGGATGGGTGTGGGTGTGGGTGTGGGTGTGAATGGCAATGGGGTTGGGACTGAGGTTGAGGATGAAAATGGGGTGAGGCTAGGATTGGATTTGACCTGCATCAGAGTTTGGGCTCCTAGAGAGGATGCAGTTATAATGGTACTGACTATCCCATCGCCCTCAGATACTTTCAATCTTATTAATTGATATTGGATTGTTCAGGAATTTGATATCTTCTTGATTCAACCTTGGTAATTCATACATATCTAGGAATCTGTCCATTTCTTCTGAGTTTTCTGTCCTATGGGAGTAAAGATTTTCAAAGTAGGTATTAATGATCTTCTGAATTTCTGTGGAATCTGTAGAAATGTCATCCTTTTCATTCCTTATTGCACAGATCTGAGTTCTTTCTTTTCTTGAGAAGGTTGGCTAGGGGTTTATCAATTTTATTTATTCTTTCAAATAACCCACTCTTTGACTCTTTTATCTTTTGGAGGGTTTTCTTTGTCTCAATTGCATTAATTTCTGCCCTAATCTTTATATGCTCCTCCCTTCTTTGGGCTTGGGGCCTGACTTATTCTTTTTCTAAAAGTTTGAGATGTAGCATCAGGCTACTTATTCATTCTCTTTCTGTTGTCCTTATGTGCGATTTCACCGCTCTAAATTTCCTTTTGAGGGCTGCTTTCATTGCATCCCATAGATTCTGGTAAGTGGTATTTACATTTTCATTTGTTTGTAGGTATTTTTAAATTTCCTCTTGAATTTCTTCTGTGACCCATTGGTTGTTCAGGAGGTTGGTGTTTAATTTCCAAGTGTTTATGGAGTTCTGGAGTTCCTTTTGTCATTAATTTCCAATTTCACTGCTCTGTGGTCAGATAATATGCAAGGGATAATTTCAATTCTTTTGCATTTCGGCAGGTATGGGCTAAGATATGGTCTATTTTAGAGAAAGACCCATGAGCTGTTGAGAAAAATGTGTATTGTGATATTGTGGGGTGAAACACTCTGTAGACATCTACTAAGTCCATTTGTTCACAGCTTTGGTTCAGATCTGTTATTTCCTTGCTATAAACACTAGTAGTACCTTCAGGTTCACTAAGCTCAAGAATGTGCTGAACAAGGTGAGAGAAAACCAATGTCACCAAGCCTCTCATCATACCTCTTCTGAGAACTGTCTTTGTTCTGCCTATCCTGATAAGTTTAGAAAAAGCTAGAAATAACAGTGTCTGCCAAAGGACTTTTTCAGCATTTCCTGAGATTCCTTTCTTATTATTTTTGTTTTGGTGTTTTTCTTTGCAGATGGGGTCTCAATGTGTTCTTCAGACTGCCCTTGAATTCTTGGTAAAACTGCAATATAATTCACTTTATGCTGATACATTTTAAAAGTGAGAAGCAGTGTACAATGTGTTTGAAAAAATAAAATGGAGCAAAGCTGGCTCCAGAAGAAATGTAAAAGCTTAGTAGTCTTGTCTAACCATTACACACATTTCCCCTGTGTTTTGGCTTCCTCATGTCACCATATGGGTGAGCGTGTTAGCTTGTAAATGCATAGGATGATTTTGTCGACCGTTCTGGAGGTTCCAGTCCAAGATCAGCCAAACTGCTGCTTTGGGCCTCTGCTGGGCTTGCTGGATGGCAGTGACAGGAAGCACAAGGTGGAACAAATTGCTCATCTTACGACCTGAAAGCAAAATGGAAACAAAAAGAGGTTTGAACATTCAATCCCCTACAGGGGCAGCCCATAACCTGAAGCCCTTCCTGATCACATCCCCATAAAGCCACCTGGGGACCAAGCCATTTGCACAGAGGCCTTTGGGGGATAGTCTTAGTTAATTTTCTCATGGCTTAAATAAGACATCAGACA